TCTTCTTAACTGACCAATTATGTTGAATTTGATTTTTCTATAAAATATAAAATTAAAATTATAAATATTTCAAATATCTGATGAATTAAGTGGAATTAAATTTTTTAAACCCTAGTATATATAGTTCAGAAATATAGGATTTTTAGCCTATTTTAATTGATAACCATCTTTTTGTAATTCATTTAACTTATTCAATAATTTTAATTTAACCTTTTAAACCGATGGCAACTCTCAGACACATCAAAAGTATTGTAAATTGTCAAAGTAAATATTTCTTAAAACTCCTTCGTTTTACAACCATTTTTATTATTTCATAAAACTTGGGCATAAATTAATTTAATTTAACTTTTCAAACAGATGGCAATCCTTACCAAAATAATTTCAAACTATTATCTTCTTAAACCTCTCTCCTCTAATACTCATATGGTGATACCTTATTCACTTATCTAATTCCTTTGATTAAAATTGGATTAGATTTTTTAAACAAGTGGCAACCCTATAACACGTAGTTAAGGTATAAAGCCTTTTCAAAATCAATTGGGTTGATACCCATATTATAACAATTTATTTAACTTTTTTAATAATTTGAGCTTAATTTCTTAACAGGCGGCAGCTCCTTTCGAAAAATTTAAATCTTAATGCACATCTACAGCGCAAGCCCTTTAAATTGACACTTCATTTTTGAAAATCGAACAAACGGTGTGGATCTGATAACCTTTGCAAAAAATCTATTGCGGTGTTATATATATAGATATAGATTATGGAGAAATTAACTAAACCTATTTCAGTGTTCAGTGTTCGTTCTTTTCATAAAAATAAGTGGTAGACTTCTTTTCCCTTAGTAGGTTAGTAGGTTTAAATGAGTTCTGGTACACTAAGAAAAAAGTGTGATGATTTTTTTAAACCGGTTCATTTTCAGTTTTTCCTTGTTAGAGATTGAAATTTTCGAACAGACAAAGTATTTTTTAAACAATCATAAAAATAAATAATACATTCAAGCACTTGTTTTGCTGTAGCTGAGTGTGCAGGTTCAATTGCCGTCTGACGCAACTTGTAGTTTTTGATTTTTCTTTAGGTTTTTTAGTTACATATAAAAAAGCATTTGTGAAGTGCAGAACAAAAATATACTCAAAGGAAAAAATCTCCAAAAAATCTGTTTGAAGTAAGTGATTGTTAGACGCCAAATAATATGTGTTTTAGTTTGAGAAAATACAAAATGGTTTATTTTTTCTCAGTGTACAAATAACTTAAAAACCCGCAAATACTAGGGTGTTCGATTATTCGCCCTTTTCCAAAACTGGTTTTCGACTTATTCGAAAAATTGCCGCGTGAAAAACCTAGCACCTGCCACCGTAGCCGAGTGCTTGGATGTGCCTACTGCCTCTCGGGAGGCCCATGGTTAAATTTCTGGTCCCAGCAATATCAAAAAGATTTTTCAAATAGCGGTTGTCCGTCCGTTCCATTTGTGCCACAACATCAAGAAGCAGAACCCGAATTGGAGGAGAGACTGGGCCAAACACGTAGAAAACGATTAAGCGCCAAACATTCGTTTATTGGAATCAAATATGTTATACTGATCACCCCCAATTAACCTATCCTAGGTTACCTAGTACCTATGTAATTTTAAAACTATTAAGAGGTTCCCCTAAACTGGAAAAAGCCTTTCAAACAAATCGCATATAGATATCTAAAATACGGTGGAAACCGGATTGGAAAAATCGAGTCGATCATATGCATGCCAGCTAACCAAAAATTACTTAAATATTTTTTTATATATATGGTTAGCCCTGGAGCTTAGAGTCTAAACCAGTGATTCCCAAAGTGGTCCAGGTAGACCGGATACTCGACGGAAGTCTACGTTTCGCGAGAAAAAAATGAAGATTTGCAAGTTCGCAACGGGCTTGAACAAATGTTTTCCAGTTAGACCGGAATATGGATTAGAAACCTTGCTTATTTTGCTTTATTTCTTTTAACCTCCTTTTTTCATTAGTGCATTTTAGGACATAGTTCGCAAAAATTCCTCACTGAGGAAAAAAATTTCCATCTTCCTCCTCACTTCAACTCAATTCAAGAACAATCAATTTTGATTTCCTCATTTGTGAGTTAAAAAAGAAAGGAGCGCTTATCGTTAAAATAAGCCAGTTTCTAAACCTCAATATATTTACCTCACGCTCCCATGCAACTCAAAATATTACTCCTTATTACTCCATTTTGCTCATGTATCTTTCATTACGCAGTAGTTTTAATCTTTGATAAACTCTTTGAAGCAGAAGGGAGCGCAAATTGGGCAATCAATTTATTTATGCTTCAAATTTGATGCGCCGATTGCTTGGTTATTTCTCATAGATTTTTCTAGATTCGGTCTTTTCTCTTTTGGCATTTTCGGAATTAAAGGTAAAACGCTTTGCGGTTTTGTTGTCTCAAGTTTTGTGTTTTAAAAATGTGAGCGATACATTTTTTTCGCATCACTCGCGGTGAAAATAAAAATGATGCAATTAATACGAATAAACTCTTTTACAAATACATACTTTCGTGCAAATTTGTAAGTGAGCCAAACATGCGAGGAGTTTATGGTGAAGATAATGTAAATAA